ACTTTTGAAAGCGCGGAGAGCATGATCAGACGAAACACCGCTTCACGAAAACGCTCAAGGAGGGTCATGGGAGTGAGGGGTTTGGAGGGTCGGGAGGCGGCGGAGGACGCGAGTCTTGGCTCTGATACCATGACAAATTAGCTTAGGGTTTGCGAATAAGCAAAAATGGAGAGAAAAAGTGTTTAACTTTTCTTTACTGGTAAACTGTTTTTACAATATACAGTGAAGAGTAAGCTTTACTCTTTTATACAAGCAAACGTAGGAGAAGATTAAAGTACTGTCGTTTTACAACTGTTTTTATTATAAAACAGAAACGACACCGTTGGTAGAATTACATTTTCCTCCTGATACTTGGCTCTTTTGCATTTTCGTTCTTTGACCAACAAGCTCAAGCGGCTTCTGCTAGATTCTGATTGCGCAAAGGAAGGTGGAATTGTCATCGAGGGAGAGCAGCAATGGTGGGAAGGGCTGCAATGGGAGGACCTTGCCATTCGCGCTAGTTTTGAACCTTGTTTCAAGGAGTGCTGGTAATACAAAGTATACGCTGTTGAATACAAGGTCCAGTGTCGATGACTCATTGTTAGGTGCATTAATACCATTCAAGTTTCTTTGTTGTATTTCGCATAGAATTTCTTTCGGGCCCTAGTTTCTTTCAAGTCACCACAGAGATCGTGAACCAAAAATAAATAAAAAAGGAGTTTCCGCATCTAGGTTGGGCTCCCGCAACATCATCTCATTTTGTGTTTAATATCCGCATATTTTGTTTTAAACTGGGATCAAATGGAGCAATGGATTTCCGCATCAAGGTTGGGTCATGTAACATCATCTCAATTGTGTTTAATGTCGCATATTTTTGTCTTAAACTACATAAGGGTTATCAACTACATACTTATTGTATGCAAATTCATATATGTATTGTTTGTAGGCCTCAAACCTAATGTTTGTGATTTTAAGATTCAGAATTTATGATATCCACTATTTTGTTTTTAGAGAAAAATATTTGGTACTAAAAAGTTTTATGGAAGTTCAAAAAGAGATTAGTTTTTACATACTCATACACGACTCGTCTTTGCCTATTGAGTCTTATAGGAGCGTCCAGATCCTATGAGATAGAGAAGGCTGGGACAAGTCCTGTCAAGCAATGTTTTTATACCCGTATCAAACCTTGACTTGGCCTAGGGACCCGTCCCTTGGTCGGGCGGTGACATCAGTGACATCGCCATGGCGTAATAGAATTTTAGAACCCTAATAGTTAATAAATTATTAATACCTAATTATTTTACGCTTTAATCCCACCTAATTATTCTACACCCTCCCATCATTTAAGGGTGTTAACCAAACCGAGCTTAAGACAATGTATAGTTGTTGTAGGATTTTTGTTGATTCGTATTTGTGAAATGGTTATGCTTAATTTTGTTGTTTTGGTTGCTGGAAAATGAATCTTTATGTTTGGGCAAAGGTCATACCCAACTGCCTCACCCACTGCCCAATTTTCTTTATCTTGGGTTTTTTTTGTGGGCCGAATTCGAGCTCGAGTCACTCATGAATCCTAAATTCTTCATCAAGCTTGAGCTTGAGCTCTATATCTCGAGCTCAGTCAAGCTTGAGCTTGTGTAAGTCCTTTACATATCGAGCCGATCTAAATATCTGAGTTTTAAAACATTGTTGTCAAGGACAGTGTCCAATGTCATTGACTCATTGTTAGGTACATGAATACCATTCAATTTTCAGTATATAAATTTATTTCTCTCCTATTTTCTAATGCTTTGAGATGGTGTTGGTTTCTTCTTCTGTATCTATATGTGCCCTACTCTCTGAAAGAAATTTCATGTAGGCATCACGAAAAATTATTTTATAGCATTTAGTCGGCTATGCGTGAAAATTCAATTTACTGAATAAAAAAAGAGTCTTATTTAAATAAGTTAAGAGAAGAGACTACAAACAAAAACGTCAAAAAGTGGAGACCACGCGGTTTTACCAAGAAGCAATCAATTAAATAAGAGTCGGAGAGGCATTCATCCCTCAAGTTTGATGTAATTATAAAACCAGCCTTGATATTTCAAAATAATAATTATTTTCTGCCGTCCGTGCAAGGTTGATGAGCCATCTGAACATAAACCTTTACAAGTTTATAAATATTTATAGAATTATCCTTTTACAATTTATCTTAGCATCTAAAACTAAAACTTAACGACAGAGAGTTTTAAGTTTTGTTAGAAACCTTTGAGGGACTTTCTGTAATTAATTAAACTTCAGGGATTAAAATTGGACTCGTTAAATAATTATTATTGCCATGGGTATTATCGTCATTTAGGAAAAATTGACCAAATTTTAATACTGGCCTTTTCCTGTTATTTTATGTTTAAGACAAAAAGATTAATGTTACTGGCTTTCCTAACACTGAGAACGCGGTACGAAAAGGAGGCGTTAACAGCCGTAGATTATGGTCCATGGTTCGAGGGACCACGATCTAAGGATAACCAGTGAACCAGTGACAATACTGTGGGGATAAGTTAACAATAAGTACACTTTTTGACTGTGTCAATGGCTGAGTTAGATTTTGATAAAGTATTGAGAGAGACCCACAGATTTACAGGTCCGCAATTTGCCCTTGCTTACTTTGACTGATAATTTGTTTTTTTTCTTGTTGTTCAACCATGCGGATGGGAGAGATCTTTTTATCTGATGCGGATGGGAGAGATCTTTTAATCTTCCAATTAAATTATTGAAGTCTTGAGACCAATTCTTCGCTACGTCGGCCTAAGAACAACTTACAATTATCAAGATACGTTAAACTAGAGGAAAGAGAGTACAGTTAACTAGAAAGTTACTTCAAGCATTAAATTATTTTCTTTCTTTATTTATTATTTATTATTTGTCAATCTAGTCTATTATATACAGACCCTCCATTTCTCTTCTATTTATAGCAGTAGAAAATATTCGATTGTTTCACACTGTTTAGCTATAAAATATACAAACCGGAAAATGAGTGTGTTTTTGATAAAAGTGAAATGTAAACAAACATTTTGTACTACTATAGAGAAATTAATATTATATATTGTGGTCATTTTTATTATTTCTTTATATAATATTGGGGTCATTTTTATTTATTTCTTTATATAATTAAAATTGATAGAAATTAATATTATATATTGGGTCATTTTTATTATTTCTTTATATAATTTAAAATTGATAGAAATAATTAATATTATATATTGTGGTCATTTTTAATTATTTCTTTATATAATTAAAATTGAACAAGTCAAATTCCAAACTCTAATTCGTAGCAATTTCATAAGTAAGAATATGATGGTTGGTAACAATTGTTGTATGAACACAAAAATTAAAAATTAAAAAACATTTTCCCTTCGATTGTCTTGAAGGGATTAATATATTTTAGATTTAGATGGCATTAGCTATTGTTTTCATTTTTATTTATTTTAAAAGAATTGTAACATCTATTTACTTATCATTCTTATTTTAAAAAAGAAGAAAAAAAAAATAGATAATCACATACATAACTAAAAGAATGAAAACACATAAAAAGTAAACAAGAGTTTTAAAGTTCTTGCTTTCCATTTTTTTCCCCAATATTTCACATTTAATATAGAGAATATTGTAGACCAAGACTTTAATTAAATTATTGAAGTCTTGTCACCAATTCTTCGCTGCGTGAGCCTATGAACAACCTATAATTCTCAAGATACGTTAAACTAGAGGAAAGAGAGTACAGCCAACTAGAGAGTTACTTCAAGCATTAAATTGTTTTCTTTCTTTCTTTATTAATGGGAGAACGACTTACACATACCCAAAGTTTGTCGTAACAACAAATTAGTATCTAAAAGGTTTTAAAATGACAAATAGGTACCTTTCGTCATGTTCTGTTAATGATTTCTGTTTATTAATAGTGAAAAGACTAAAATGCCCTTAAAAGTTTGAATTTTAGTTTTTTATAAATTTAAAAATATCTAAAAAACCCCTAGGTTTACAAATTTAACTAAATAACCCAATATATAAAATTTTTATAAAATAACAAAAACACCCCCGCCACCCGCACTGTCAGATTCCGGCCACCACCGTCGGAATCTAGCCGGGAAGTTGCATTACGACACAGACCCGTCGGATCTGTGTCGTAACGCCTCGATCTGGCTTTTTCTGGCCAGATCCGTGGCTGATCTGGCCGAAAAAGGCCAGATCTACGGCTAGATCTGGCCGTCGACGCCGCAAAACTCCATCTGCGGCGTCGAATGCTAGATCTGGCCATAGATCTGGCCTTTTCCGGCTAGATCAGCGGCGGATCTGGACGGAAAAGGCCAGATCTGGCTGCTGCTTCGACGGCCAGATCTGGCCTTTTCCGGCAAGATCTGTGGCAGATCTTGCCGGAAAAGGCAAGATCGGCACGTTACGACACAGATCCGACGGGTCTGTGTCTTAACGCAAACTTCTGGCCAGATTCCGGCGGTGGTGGCGGGAATCTGGCACTGTGGGTAGCGGGGGTGTTTTTGTTATTTTACAAAAATTTTATATATTGGGGTATTTAGTTAAATTTGTAAACCTAGAGGGTTTTTTAGAAATTTTTAAATTTATAAAACACTAAAATTCAAACTTTTAAGGGTATTTTAGTCTTTTCACTATTAATAAACAGAAATCACTAACAGAATATGACGGAAGGTATCTATTTGTCGTTTCAAAACCTTTTGGGTATCAACTTATCGTTATGACAAACCTTGGGTATGCACAAGTCGTTCGGCCTTTATTAATACGTTAAACTAAACGCCGAAACACGTAAATTATTTCGTGTTTTGTGTGGGTTAAACTAGAGGAAAGAGAGTACCTCACTGGTGGATGACCAAGACTTGGTGGAGTAGACCTCAGTGAATGACCAAGACTTTCCTTCTCTTTCTATTTATCTATATAATACATAGACATTTCATCTTCACTTCTCATCTCTCAACACAATTTTAAGCAGTTTCTATTTTCTTTTATTTCCAGTGAAAAACATGTGGAGTTTATCATGGCATAATCTACTCCCCTGCCTCCTCTTCATGTACTTGAATTTTCGAGTTACTTTCTCTTTGCCTATTAATTCTTCTTCTCCTTCTACAAAACTTTGCTCCCCTGAGCAAAGTTTAGCCTTACTCCAGTTTAAGAATACCTTGACAATTGATAATAGTTCTTATTATGATTGTGAAGAACATTCTCATCCTAAGACAGACTCCTGGAAGGAGAGTACTGATTGCTGCTCATGGGATGGAGTCACTTGTGATAGCTTCACAGGTCAAGTGATTGGCCTTGATCTTTCTTCTAGTTGGATCCGTGGCACTGTCTATGACAACAGTAGTCTCTTCCTCCTTCACCGTCTCCAGAAGCTCAATCTAGCTTGTAATGATTTTAGTGAATCCACTATCTCATCCAAGTTTGGTCAGTTCATGCAACTGACACATCTTAACCTTTCTCTCTCCGGTTTCTATGGCCTAATACCTACTGAAATCTATCACCTAGCAGAACTTGTTTCAATTGATCTTTCTGGTAACTGGGGGCTTGAATTACTAGAACTCAGCCAACATGTTTTCGGTAAGCAATTGCAGAATCTAACAAAACTAAGACTTCTTGATGGTGTGAATATGTCTTCAGTTGCTCCTGGCTCCTTGGTGAACCTGCCTTCAACTCTAATATCTCTTGTTATCAGCAATACACGCCTGCAAGGCAACTTCCCAGAAGACGTTTTTCGCCTTCCATTCCTCCAAAAGTTCAGTTTAACCGGAAATGAATTTCTAACAGGTACTTTACCAAAGTATAATTGGAGCTCTTCACTGAGATTCTTGGATCTCTCTGGCACAAATTTCTCAGGAAAGTTACCTGACACAATCGGCAACCTTATATACTTGAATGTTTTGAATCTCTCAAGCGTCCCTTTGTACTTCCATATGAAGGATCTTTCTTTCAACAAATTCAAAGGGCCGATTCCAACATCATTTTGGAACTGCACGGAAATAACTTCTTTGGATTTGTCAGGCAACAACTTTACAGGCGAAGTTGCAACGTCATTATCTAAACTCAGTCAGCTTAAAAGTTTAAATCTCAGTGGGAACAATTTTGAAGGAAAGTTCCCCGATGTTTTTGGCAATCTCAGCAAATTAACTGATCTAGATCTTTCATTGAACAATTTCAGTGGTCAGTTGCCGTCTTCAGCATTCAACCTCTCACAGCTTTCTGTTTTAGACTTATCCAAAAATCAAGTTGAAGGTCATATACCATTTCAAGAAAGTGGTCTTTCAAATCTAATTTCTCTCAAGATGTCTAATAATTTTCTTGCCGGAAGAGTACCATCTTGGTTGTTTACTCTGCCATCTTTAGAGACATTAGACCTTAGCAATAACAAACTCACAGGTCCAATTGAGGAGTTCCATCCGACTGGTTCAGTGAAAGATGTTTCTTTGATGAATAACGAGATTCGAGGTCCAATTCCAAATTCCATGTTTGAACTCTTAAACCTTACATCCCTCCACCTTTCATCCAACAACTTGAGTGACAATGTTAATGCATACAAGTTGTCTAAGCTCAAAAATCTCGTTTCCATTGACCTCTCTCACAACACCTTACTATCATTTGTTAATCAGAAAAATGAAACCTTTACGTTGCCCAGCCTTCAGAGCTTCAGTTGCTCTTCTTGCCACATAAATGAATTCCCTATTTTCTTAAGAACTTCATACACCTTGTATTTCTTAGACCTTTCAAACAATAGAATTCATGGCGAAATTACTCAATGGCAATTTGAATTGTTTCACAATTTGTTTTGTTTGAATCTTTCTCACAATTTTCTTACGAGTTTCTTCCCTTTTGAAAAAACTTCAAATATGAATCTATGGGTTCTTGACCTTCAATCCAACTTGCTCCAAGGCCCACTTGCAATTTTACATGCACCATTGATGGACACCTTATTACTTTCCCACAACATGTTGACGGGAGAGATCTCTTCGTCAATTTGCAACTTGAGCAATATGCATGTTCTTGACCTGTCTAACAATAGCTTAAGTGGAACAATTCCTCAATGTCTAGGAAACGCTTCTAGTCTTTCACTCTTGAACCTTGAAATGAACAATTTCCATGGTAACATCCCCTCAATATCTGCATATAGCTCCATTCAATATATCAACCTTAACGACAATAATTTGGAGGGATCATTACCACCTACATTGGTTAACTGTTGTGATTTGGAAGTTCTAAATGTTGGGAACAACATGATAAATGATACTTTTCCTCATTGGTTTGCAAAGCTTCCACGGCTAAAAGTTCTAATATTGAGATCTAATAGATTTCATGGTTCCGTTGGAAAATCAAAGACAAGATTATCATTTCATAAGCTACGAATAATTGATATCTCTCACAATCAGTTCACAGGTACTTTGCCAACAAGATTTTTTGAGAAATTTAATATGATGGGCGGGAAAAAATTTACAGGTCAATTGGAATATCTGGTAGTGGAAATGCTTTCACCGTTTCGATTCAGCTATTGGGAGCTTCCGCATTATTATTTATATTATTCAATTGTTTTAACAATGAAAGGTGTTGATAGAGAAATAGACAGAATTCAAAACGTTTTCACAATGATGGATTTGTCAAACAACCAATTTGAAGGACAAATTCCTAAAGCTATTGGAAAGCTTAATTACCTGCAGGCCCTCAACTTGTCTCATAATAATCTTACAGGTCATATTCCACCATTATTGGAAAATTTGACACAACTTGAATCATTGGACTTCTCCTTCAACAACTTCGTTGGAGAGATTTCTAATCAGCTGACAAGTCTAAAATTTCTTTCTATGTTTAACCTTTCATACAACCAACTTGTTGGATCCATACCTCATGGATATCAATTTGATACATTTCAAAATGACTGTTATATTGGAAACTTTGGGTTGTGTGGATCCCCATTGTCAAGGAAGTGTATTCCTGATAAGCCACCATCTCCAATACCATCAATCTACCATGAAGAAGATGATGAGTCGAGCTGGTTTGATTGGAAAATTGCCTTGATGGGTTATGGATGTGGACTGGTGTTGGGCTTATCCATTGGATATATTGTATTCACAACAAGAAAACCGCAATGGTTCGTAAGGAAGATTGAAAGAGTAAGTCTGAGAAACATGAGGAAAGTTGAAAAAAGGCCTCCAAGAAGAAGAAATTAGTAAGTTCATGTACTGCTCTTTCATGTTTGAGTTTTTAATCTTCTTCTTCTACTGTTTTTAACCATTCTCATTATTATTCATGTTTTGGCAGGAGAATTCCACCTCCTTTCTCCAACAAAAAGTAAACCCACTTGCAGAACTGGTTTTGGATTCTATATCCTTTTCTAGGTCTCTGTTCTTGAAATTTTTGAACTTTATACTTTAGAATTGGTCCTTCATGTTTGTTTTTTGAATTTTAATTTTAAGCTCACTTCCATAATTGATTTTCGATTCAGTTTGCACTTCTGGTCCTCTGTTTTATTTTACAATTCATCTCCTTGCCCTGTTTTTTTGTATTAGCATAGTTAATTTTCTTTAGTCAAAGTAAAATCCATTCAATTACTATAATTTGGTGAGGGCATGGTAGTCATGGGGTTATTTTCATTGCGTCGCTCACAAATTTTATCCATAAACATTTGGGGGAAAAAAATTATATACGAACATATTACAACCCAAGAATGAAAATTCTCCAATGCTTCGAGTTGGTTCAGCTGGAAATTGCTTTGATGGGTTACAAATGTGGATTAGTAATAGGCTTGTCTTTGGGATATATTATAGGGGTGGGCATGGGTAATGGGTAGAACCAGAACCAGAGTCGTCTCAATAGGGTGTGTTTTGTAATTTTTATATCAAATATTATTTGACATATAAGGAATTGCAATCACAAATTGGGGAAAAAAAGGGAAAAAAAAAAAAAAAAAAAAGTGTCAAACTCATGTCTTCACCCATTGTCCAGTATACGATTTGTTCTCAGTTCATGTCATCGACCTTCCGTCGCCATCCAGTCAACCATCCGATTGGTAAATAATTTTATTCAATGATTTTACTTTTTAAGCTACTAATTGACTTTCTTGTGTTTATTTTGTAGAAATGACTGGATTTGACGAAGGAATATCCACAGCAAATTTGGAGCATGAGACATGATGTTTTAATGATTGCATTTCACTATTTTGTTATTATGTAACTTATGTTATTTGAAATGATGAATGTTATTTATAATTTTCAGATTGGGAATAGTAGTTGTAGAAGATGTGATTTTTTTAAGCAAACTGCAGGGTGTATGTGTGAATTTTGTGAACTACTAGGGGTGTACTGTAATTTTTTAAGGGTATATTTATCATTTTTAAAATAATAGGGGTAATTTAATTCTCCTATGTACCGGGGACAGGAACGGAACCTGCATTTCAAGTTCCAGTTCCAGGAACTGACCGATTCTGATTCCCATTCCCAGCAATTTTGATAGGTACCTGAAACCACTCACCCTTATTTTTTATATTATATTCGCAATTGGATAACTGCTATGGTTTGTAATGATAGTTGAAAGAATAAGGTTTAGAAACATGAGAAGAGTGAACAGAAATCATCCAAGAAGAAGACATTAGAGAGTTTTCAACTTTCTCTTTCTTTCCAGAGCAAGGAGGATAGCCGGTTGTGTCTACATGTCTAGTTATCATCGTCAAGCCATCGATTTTCTTCCACTCTCTCTAGACAAGTAATTCATATGTTATTTTTGAAGTAATTCAAGTAGATGGTAAGCTAATATATTTTTCACGCGCTTTAGATAATGCGGTTCTGTTGGAGTTACTGAGTGTTTTGCTTTTTATAAATGAATCATTAATAATAATAATAATAAAATCACTCTGTTAAAATTTATTTGTCGGTTATTTTGGGTTGTGAAATTAGATGTGAAGTAAATGACAAGCTAATAGTCTTTTGCTCTATTAAATGGCAATGCTGAAATTACTAGTCCTATTGATGAAAGCAAATGAGAATGCTAAACAGAAGATGCGAAGGAGAAGAAAATTAGGTGTGCTCCACTTTAATTTCCTGTAAGTCAGCTATGCTATTTAAATCTTGAAAAGTCTATTGATTACAAATTGTTTAGACTACATCATGATCCAAGTTAATTCTTAGTTCTTTTTTAGTTGAATAAAAGGTTTTTCGTGCTCACTAGTGTTGCAGTACTGCTTCTCTTTACTCCTTTCAGCAGGTTTGCAGATAAAAGTATCAAGGATACAACACAGAGAGTTTATTGATAGAAGTTGGATGTAGAAATGGAGCCTTAAATAGAATAGTGCTGCAAGATTATGTTGACTTTGTCTTCACATTCTTTTGGGATATTGTGTTTGTTTTCCTATTTGTTCTTATGTCAAATTATATATATTTAAGAAAAACTATTTAATAAAGAATACAAATGTGAATAGGAATAGGAATATAATTATGAGAGTCTTATTACAAATTCAAATATGAATTTCATTAGAAATAAAATGTCTCATATACTACCTATAAATCTAGAGCTAAGAACCAAATCAAGGTTATAAGAGAATGTGAGAACACAAGACATTTGATGTAAGAGTTATTAAATGCCATGGGTAGTCTCCTAGAAACTATGATGATTTTTGCTCTAGGTATTAGGTTGAGCATGGTTAAAAAGTGTATTCTTGTATATCATGTTAATGAAACTATAGTGGAATTCTCTCATCCGTGGATGTAGGTAATGTATGCCGAACCAAGTAAATATCGTGTCTCTTTGTGTGGTGTGATTTTATTCTTATATTATTAATCTCGAATGTATGTTTTTTCTTGCGCGATTTCCTAACACATTCATCACGTTCTGAAACTTATAGTTGGACTCCTTTGGTGACATTTAGTGCCACCTAATTGGAAACAAAATTTGTGCTTAATTCTCCTAAAACAATTTCTAAGATCTTCATGCTAAAATTGTGGCTGCATGGTCTTAATCCCAGATTTTTTTAATCCGCAATTTTTGAAATGCAATGACCTCGAAAACTTTGTAAATATGAGCACCAATTGCAAGAGAAACACAAGTGAATTATGGACAGAGAATATTGTTGTTGAAGAATATTCTATAGGATTTTCCGCTAGATGTACAATGGCTGTACAATCAATTTCGCAATAAATTCACCTTGTACAATTACCAGGTAAAGCTTATATTTCTTTCTCTTTCATTCGCTAAACGATGATGGCGGGACATTTTCGACGGCTTACCCCAACTTCCACTTCCAGGGTGGAAGATGGGTCTCTTCTGCTCTGATCTTTAGGATAAGACTTTCGCTTCATAATTTGCAACAGCGTAGGCTTGAAACAGTTTCTCATTTCTCCAATATAAAACTCAAACTCTATTCTTCTAATTAATTTTAAACCCATGAAATGGCTCAAGGAGTTGCTGATTCTTTTGAGTTACTGCTAAATTGTCATCTTTAAGCAGTTTTGAGAAAGTAAAATTAATCTTTCTCTATGCTCGTTCGAAGAAATAGTTGGTGTTTCTGTTGGTAGGGTTAAATTTTGCCCCCACGAGCTGTCACCGCCGTTTCAAAACATGCAGTGACGTCTAGAGCTAGTGGCAGGCCTTAGCATAGAACAGCCCACATAACAAGCCTTGAATTTTTCGGCATAGCACAATGAAGATGACGTTCATATCCCCATAAACTAACGGTAATGTCCATATTCTCGTTAACTAACAATGACGAGTTGACCTTGCGGGTAGCTAACGGTGACGCCCATGTGTTGTTACCTAACAATGACGTCTATATGTCGTTAACTAACGGTAACATCCATATGAATATTGTGTAATTGTGACCATTGTTCTGAGAATTTCCGTCAACGTCATCGTTATCTCGCAGTTAAGGTCAGCATCACCATTTACTTGTTTGGACTATCTTTTATCGAACACAATCTCTTCTTCTCCAGTCAGATCTATAGAAGAAAGAGAAACCAGAGTTAGGTTTTCTGAATGTTTTAAGATTATATCAGAAAGAAGAAAAAAAATCTTACAGATTTCGAATGTTCAAAAATCAAGCACCACTATTTAAGTATCGCGAAACAAAGCCCAATCAACGTCGTCTTTCTTAGCCAAGCGAAGCCACTCCCTGTCTCCACTGTACAACTTTTACAATTAACCCTAAATTTCACTCGCCATGAAATTTCTTAGTGTTTATATACCAAACAACCAAAATTCAGCTGTTCGAGTCTCCATATTTTCTCGACACGCATTTACGAAAGTACAGTGTATAACTAATTTTGTGTAATTACAACCGAAATTGCAAACAAAACAACAAAAAATTCCTTAAAAATGACCTTTATACCTAAAGAAGCTATTGAAATCATTGCTCAGAGTATTGGAATTACCAATTTGTCTCCCGATGTTGCCCTCGCTGTCGCTCCCGATGTTGAGTATCGCATGCGCGAAATTATGCAGGTCAATATAATTTATTTATTTTTAAATTTTGGTGGTTACTGATTTTTTGAGTTCTGGAGTTTTAAAACATTGTTAATTGATAGTGAACCTTGATGCTTTGAACTTGTAGGAGGCGGTTAAATGTATGCGGCACGCACGTAGAACAGTTTTGAGAGCTGAGGATGTTGATCGTGCACTTAAGAAATGTGGAGGTAAATAATTTGTATTTTTAGCTTTTTTTTTTTTTTTTAATTCATTGTTGTGGGTTTTGGAGTATAGTTTCAAAAGTAATGTGAAAATTTTATGTTTAGTTGTGGATTTGGTTATTGGAGTGGTGAAATAATTTGTTTTATGCTTTTTGATTTGCAAGGGAGTTTGGAAGTTTAATTTTGAAACTTACGCGAAATCTTTAGTTTTACTTGTGGATTTGGTTGTTCATTTATAAATTTTAACTCTTGCCAGGCAATAAATGGATTTGGTTCGAGTGATTCTTTGCCATTCAAAAGGGCGGATGGGCTTAAGTATTTGTACTATATTGATGACAAGGATGTGGATTTTAAGGATGTACGGAAATGAAAATGTGGTTTTAAATTGTGTGATAAATGGCTTTTTGTTGCTTGCTATTCTCTTATTTTGCATGTTGGAATGGATGCAGGTGTTGGCAGCACCTTTACCAAAGGCACCTATTGAAACATCTGTTACTACTCACTGGCTAGCAATTGAAGGTGTTTAGCTTGCTATTCCAGAAAATGCTCCAGTTGAA